TTTAAAGCTTTGGAATCAAAAAAACAGTGCGTGCGTGCAAAAATAACCAAAGCAGCCCATTTAAGGGTTGAAACTGCAGGATTCGACTTTTTGAAGCTTCCACTCAGAAGCTTCCTGCCTTTGCTGCAGCATTAAAGGTTGGAAATTCAAAAAGTTTCTCAAGGGTTTTGATTGCTTGGTCCATCTGCTGCTTCTTCCGCTCAGATGCAGCAAAAACAAAATTTTAAATGTTGAAACTGCAACATTGAACTTCCTGAAGCTTCCACTCAGAAGCTTCCTGCCTTTGCTGCAGTATTAAAGGTTGGAAACTGAAAAAGTCTCTTAAGGGTTTTCCCTTGATGGGTCCATCCTGCTGCTTCTTCCGCTCAGATGCAGCAAAAGCAAAAATTTTAAAGCTTTGGAATCAAAAAAACAGTGCGTGCGTGCAAAAATAACCAAAGCAGCCCATTCAAGTGTTGAAACTGCAGCATTGGACTTTCTGAAGCTTCCACTCAGAAGCTTCCTGCCTTTGCTGCAGTATTAAAGATTGGAAACTCAAAAAGCCTCTCAAAGGTTTTGATTGCTGGGTCCATCCTACTGTTTCTTCCGCTCAGATGCAGCAAAAGCGAAATTTTAAGTGTTAAAACTGCAACATTGGACTTTCTGAAGCTTTCGCTCAGAAGCTTCCTGCCTTTGCTGCAGTATCAAAGGTTGGAAACTCAAAAAGTCTCTTAAGGGTTTTCCCTTGATGGGTCCATCCTGCTGCTTCTTCCGCTCAGATGCAGCAAAAGCAAAATTTTAAGTGTTGAAACTGCAACATTGGACTTTCTGAAGCTTCCACTCAGAAGCTTCCTGCCTTTGCTGCAGTATCAAAGGTTGGAAACTCAAAAAGTGTCTCAAGGGTTTTGATTGCTTGGTCCATCTGCTGCTTCTTCCGCTCAGTTGCAGCAAAAGCAAAAATTTTAAAGCTTTGGAATCAAAAAAACAGTGCGTTCGTGCAAAAATAACCAAAGCAGCCCATTTAAGTGTTGAAACTGCAGCATTGGACTTTCTGAAGCTCCCACTCAGAAGCTTCCTGCCTTTGCTGCAGTATTAAAGGTTGGAAACTCAAAAAGCCTCTCAAGGGTTTTGATTGCTGGGTCCATCCTGCTGTTTCTTCCGCTCAGATGCAGCAAAAGCAAAATATTAAGTGTTGAAACTGCAGCATTGGACTTTCTGAAGCTTCCGCTCAGAAGCTTTCTGCCTTTGCTGCAGTATTAAAGGTTGGAAACTCAAAAAGTCTCTTAAGGGTTTTCCCTTGATGGGTCCATCCTGCTGCTTCTTCCGCTCAGATGCAGCAAAAGCAAAAATTTTAAAGCTTTGGAATCAAAAAAACAGTGCGTGCGTGCAAAAATAACCAAAGCAGCCCRTTYAAGTGTTGAAACTGCAGCATTGGACTTTCTGAAGCTYCCACTCAGAAGCTTCCTGCCTTTGCTGCAGTATTAAARRTTGGAAACTCAAAAAGTCTCTCAAGGGTTTTGATTGCTGGGTCTATCCTGCTGTTTCTTCCGCTCAGATGCAGCAAAAGCAAAAATTTTAAGTGTTAAAACTGCAGCATTGGACTTTCTGAAGCTTCCGCTCAGAAGCTTCCTGCCTTTGCTGCAGTATTAAAGGTTGGACACTCAAAAAGTCTCTCAAGGGTTTTGATTGCTGGGTCTATCCTGCTGTTTCTTCCGCTCAGATGCAGCAAAAGCAAAATTTTAAGTGTTAAAACTGCAACATTGGACTTCCTGAAGCTTTCGCTCAGAAGCTTCCTGCCTTTGCTGCAGTATTAAAAGTTGGAAACTCAAAAAGTCTCTTAAGGGTTTTCCCTTGACGGGTCCATCCTGCTGCTTCTTCCGCTCAGATGCAGCAAAAGCAAAAATGTTAAAGCTTTGGAATCAAAAAAACAGTGCGTTCGTGCAAAAATAACCAAAGCAGCCCATTTAAGTGTTGAAACTGCAGCATTGGACTTTCTGAAGCTCCCACTCAGAAGCTTCCTGCCTTTGCTGCAGTATTAAAGGTTGGAAACTCAAAAAGTCTCTCAAGGGTTTTGATTGCTTGGTCCATCTGCTGTTTCTTCCGCTCAGATGCAGCAAAAGCAAAATTTTAAGTGTTAAAACTGCAACATTGGACTTTCTGAAGCTTTCGCTCAGAAGCTTCCTGCCTTTGCTGCAGTATCAAAAGTTGGAAACTCTAAAAGCCTCTCAAGGGTTTTGCCTTGATGCTGCTCAGATGCAGCAGAAGCAAAAATTCACAAATTTGGATGCTATGGAATGAACAAAGCATTTCTTGCCAAAATAGTCAATGCAGCAGGTTAAGAATCTGGATATTTGGGGCTGACTGCAGATTTAGCCTCGTTCACTGCGGGATGTTAAGAAGGTGATGCTGCATTATTTGGCATTATCGAGCTTCCACTCAAAAGTTTCGTGCAAATTGTCCTTTGGAGCAAGAATTAGAAGCTTAGACCACCTTAAACCCTATCGTCAGCAAATATTGAAAAACTCCACCAATTTGGTAGGTTTGAAATCAAAAAGAACGTTTCTTGCCAACACAGTTAATGCAGCAGGTTCAGAGGCTGGCAGTAGATGTCGCCGCATTTACTGCAGCAGGATTAAAGTTGATGCTGCAGCACCGGGTGTTGCCAGGCTTCCACTCAGAAGCTTCCAGCTAGTTGCCGTTTGGCATGCTCTGTATAGTTGGAGCAGTATAGAGAAATTGAAGCTCAGACAGTTGCTCACAGGATGGAGCTGCTTGGTTCTCCTGCTGCTGTTTCCGCTTCCAACCTTTGCAGGGCTCTGGGTGAGGGTGGTTGGATTCGAGGCTGATCAGAATTGCAAGCAACTGTGGCAACTCGGCTTGGTTCTGGCCAGCTGGTTTCTGACCCAGTTTCCGCAGGAATTTATGCACATTCCTGCACGTGGGTTTCAGGTAGATGACGTCACGTGACGTCCAACCTCCGCCTGTGTGTTCACGTCGTCGTTCCCATACGTTTTACATAACGCTTGGTTTTTTCGTCTCTTTAGTCGAAATGCGACCTGGATGAAATTTTTCAATTTTCAATCTGTGGGTCGATTTGCATCCGAACGACTTTCGAGGTCGCATCGACGCCGAAAAGATGCCATTGCGTAACGGCGTCGCATCACTCTAACAGTTAATGTTTTCCCATTATATAAGCGCCGCTAATGGAAACATTACAAAACATTTGTTTAATATGAATTTGAAAAATGTTGTTGTTGGTACTTTGCATGAGCGCTGAAACGATTCCATAGGCATAGAAAAATCAACTGGGTTTTCCTCTTGGCCGCACCGATTTTCTACAATTCGTCTGATCATTTTTGCCGTTTTCCGTTCGACTCCTGAAGTCATTTTGGTTGAATGAAGGTTGAATTTAAATTGAAGATTAAAGATTAAAAATCCAGTCCGAATTGCTGGCTCCATGTCTTATCTTATTTACAACCTTTTTTCTAGATTCTGTTTACTTACCCCAACTGTTCATGGAAGGTTAACGTTGTTGATCCCCCTTTTTCCCACTTCCGTCGAAATTCATTTACTCACTATTTATTATAGTAGCTGATTAAGTTGCGATAATTTGGAGTGGAAGCGTTTTTAGGCGACATTCAATTTTGTCATTTGCCTAGTTGTGTACCATCAGATAACGATTTTCATTGATGGAGAGTTTGGAAACTTTTCAATTATTGCAGGTGGAAAGTCTTGCATTTGCTGCTTTAGAGGGTCACTGCGCGTGAGAACTCCTTTTGAAACGAACAGAAACCAAAAGTTTTTGAAGACAGAAGCGAAAAACTGGAAAATTTGAAAGCAGTAGGAAGCTTTCACTAGTTATTTGGGCCTAAAGTGGGCAATTTGGCCTTAAATTTGAGTCAAGACATTGCGTCTAATCAGCAGTTGCTGACGTGTGCAGAAATGAATGTTTTTAGTCAACAATTCTATCACCTGTTCTTCGATTGTCGTGAATGGAAAAATCGGCTGCGAATGCACCATTGTGTTCTATTTTGACGCATGTTCCATAAAAAAAAGTTGATTGAAACGTGCATATAATGTTCCATGCCCGATTTAATTTAGATAAGCGCTTTAACTTTTGCCAATTTATATCACATTTTGATTGTTTACTGGGTTCACGTGCCGTTCATTGATTGTTCGGAGCATGCGCTTTGGATGGCAGGGACGTTTCGCTACCACCACCGACTTGCATCTCCAGATGTGGCTGGTTCGGCGCAAAAAGTCATCAGGTTCAACAGTCGCGAAATTCTCACTCTTCATTGGAAATTCAATGCTGGAACAGAGACTGCTGCGTTTTTTTCTGTCGATTATTCGATTCGTTATTTAGTTTTCATTCGGAACAGAAAGCATAAACAATGGGCTTCTCCTAGATTCGCGTAATGCTAAACTAAGCAAACAAGCAATTCAACCACGTGTGCTCGTTTTGTCAGCACCCAGTACAAGCAAAATTCGGAGTTTAACGACCTCCACTGCATTTTATTCGGATGGTTCAGTTTTTTCCAGCAAATGCAGCTTTGATGCCCGGTTTCCATAAACCAGCTGGATTTTGAAAATGGGAGAAAAATACCTCTGGAATAGCGATCTCTCCAAGTGTTCGCACTCCGCACAGTGTTGCCTTTTGCTTGAGTATTTTCGTTGCCTTTCCGTGTTGCCAATGCAGTTGTTAGTTAATTTTTTCTGGCTATTCTTATCATGATTGGTCTGATAAAATAATAAAAATAATAACTGATTTTTGAATTCTCCTTCTATCGATGCAAAACTGTTTGCTGAGAAATGACCAAAAACGAACCCTAAGAGCTTAAATGGACTAAACCTTTTTTTGCAGGAAAACTGACCTTCGACTGATGTTCACTGATTAAAAGCTTTTCTGTGCTCTATCCAGTGGTGGAAAAACACTCGGTTTAGCTCAAATAAATTTTGAGATTTGACCCCAAAGGTGGCACCTGATGGACTAATTTTATAACAAAACTGATACGGAAATTTCGCTGTTTGTGCAAAAATTCCTAGTAATTTCTAGCTGCTGTTTTAATTAGTAACTGTGTTTTTTAAATAGCTTTTCAGTGGGGTTAAAGGTATTTTTCGCACTGAAATAGTTCATCAGATATGACCACAAATGTGACCTCATGTTTGAATCAACGGCCTGTTTGGCGGACTAAATTGCTTTTCGTGTGAAAATTACACAAATTTCCATATTGATGCTGCAGGTAGCAAACATTATTTTTAATTCTCTATATGGTGGTTTTAAAAGCATTTTGCTGCCTCAAATAGTTCTTCAGATATGGACAAAACTGTGGAATGATGTTAAAACTGATGAAGTTTAGCACAGAAATGATGCCGAAATTTCGCTCAATTAAAATTGGTTGAAATTGACACCATTTAGTATTGAGACAAATATGAGTCAACTGCATGCCAAAATTTGAGCGAAATTTGACAAATCACAAAAATGGAATTTTGAAAACTTTGCATGATTTTAGAAAATCGTCAACTGCTCGCTTATTATGGATCGTAGCGAAAATGTTTTTATGGACTACTTTCTAGACTATCTAACTTTTTTATGGAACGTAAGACGGCCGATTGACTCGACTGATTAAATTGAGATCAGCTCTTTTGATTACCGAGATATTTGCAGTTTTTTGGAAACCATATTTTCGCGATTTTCTCGAAAACTGTGAAAGCTGGAGCGTTGAACAATTTTTTTTGGATAGTGCTCTATATGCCCGAGATTCTACGAAGAATAACTTTTTGCGATAGAAAGCTTCGTTTTCGAGAAAAAAAATAAAATGGGCAATTTAGAAAAAATCGCAAGGGTTTTTTCTCTACAGGGGAAGACGAAAAAGTTTGTGCAGGCCCTTATGGAAGGGAAATTTTCAACCTCCGAGAATGCATTTAGTATACTTTTATTTATTATGCATTTTTATTTATGCATTTAGTATGCATTTAGTATACTATTACTATTTTAAAATTCTCAAGTGGTCTCTTGCGTCAATATTTTCGCTTATTTAGAAAATCTGTTACCACCATTTTGCATTTTGTGAATGTTTCTCGTCACGTTTTTGCTCATTTTTCGGGAAGAAATTTTCATTCATTTTTACACCACTGGTTAGAGCATAAATTGGGGCTTTTAGGACGTAAAGGTTTTGTTAGGAACGGTTTGCAGTTTTCTCAAAAAGTCCAAATTTCCAGGACGAAGTTAGTTTGCTCGATTTTTTTATAGCAAAATCGTCTCAAAATGTCGCCGTCTTTTTCGACATTTCTCAACAACCATTTAAGCCACAGAGCTCGTTTTGATATAATTGAAAAGATAATTTAAAGCCCTATTCACGCAAAGAAACGCGAGTGAGGAAATGGCGGTAGTTTGCACACAAGAAAGAAAATTTAAGTATAACACATTTTGGTACAAGATTCGGTCAAAAATTCATGTTTCTCGTCAGGTTTTTGCTCATTTTTCGGGAAGAAATTCTCATTCATTTTTACACCACTGGTTAG